CGATTTCAGACTTTTGGCCCCTATCGGCCCCTAATGTGATGAGTCAGCCCTTTTTTCTTGATATCATGTTACAGATCTTGTCATTCTGCACAAATTTTGTTCAATATGTTTTAACAAATGAATTAGACTTTAAAAGATATGATATAAAATGTCTCAAAAATTCACTCATGATTCGTGTCCTAAATTTCGACCCCTACCGAGCTTCCATACTAGGCACTTCCGGAAAATATCCAAACCCAGGTGCAAAATGGCAACATGTCCTCTATCATCACTGAAAATTTCAGCGCTCTAGCTTAAGCCGTTTTTGAGTTCCATCGCAGACAAGGAGGTCCTCTAAATTTTGATAAAAGGGCGATAACTTCCGACCAGAAGTAAATATCACTTAACGAAATTGCCGGAATTAACTTCAGATGTCAACGCATCTACCATGAAAATTTGAATGAAATCGAACGAGCCATCTCCGAGAAATCGTCTGCACAAATTTTGTAAGAAGAAAAAAGAATAATAATAAAGGTAAAAAAGAAACCGAAGAATAATAGAAGGGTCTTCCGCTGAAAACGGAAGACCCTAATAATAATAAAGGTAAAAAAGAAACCGAAGAATAATAGAAGGGTCTTCCGCTGAAGACGGAAGACCCTAATAATAAAAGTGAAAAAGAAACATAAGAATAATAGAAGGGTCTTCCGCTGAAGACGGAAGACCCTAATAATAATAATAAAGGTAAAAAAGAAACCTAAGAATAATAGAAGGGTCTTCTGCTGAAGACGGAAGACCCTAATAAAAGGTAAAATAACGGAAAAATGACTTTTTCCCCAGAACTGTTTGAATATATATGTAGACCAAAGGCAAATGTGTATATGTACATACATATTATAGTCTATGTGGTAAATTGACAATAACCATACAAATGAAAAATGATTTCTTAATTTAACTTGAAGTGAAATTGCTTATAATAAAGTGATCAAATAGACTAGATTCATGTGCAATAATCAAAAGTACAAGTCAAATGATTCCTGCTTATACGGTAACTTTAATCAAGAACGTTAGATCTACTATTTGTCTGCTATATATATTCATTAAATCAAGGTGAGTTTATTTTTTGTCGAATATTTGTTGCTACCGCGAGAACGTAGTTTGCGGCGAGATGCATTTCGCTAAGCATTATGGGACCACAGGTAACTCATACATGCCAACTTTCCCGATTTAGGCGGGATCCTCCCGATTTTACCCTTTGATCCCGCTCTCCCGATCGGGAAAGCAAATTTGCCCAAAAATCCCGATTTGAAAATATTCAACCTAAAATTTCCGATTTTCTGAGTTTCCCTACCGCAATATTTTGTCAATCGGGATTAGAATATCAGACTTGTTTATTCAATGCACACAGATTAGTCTCTTTGTTTATTTAACGCATGCAGAGGTGTTAATTAGCCACAGGAAATCACTTCTGGCTTGAACGCACACAGCTGTCCAGGTACAGGTAACATAGCCTGGAGCAGTTAGAGGATTAAACTTTTCAGTCAGAAGGGGTATGCATATAGTGAAACACATAGATTTAGGGTATAATTAAATATCATATAGCTGCTGATTTTAAGATATTGTAAAGTTTACCGGTTAAAATAAGATGAAAATAATTTAGATGAAACAACAAAGTCTTATACCCTCAAGTACACTGAATCCCCCCCCCCCCCCCAATGTAATATGACAACGGAATACCCACATGACACTGCCAAGATTATGCAAAAGTTCATCATGTTTATAACAATTTTAATTTTTGTTTGGGATAGGGGTATCCTTGTTTTAAATAATTGATGATCTCAAGAGTAAATTTATTTCTTCAACTTGTTTTGTGTGTGTGATTAAATTAATCATCATGATGTCTACTTATTAAAAGAGAATAAAATGACACTTCAAAACAAACAAATTTTCTTATCTTTCTCTCTCTCTCTCTCTCTCTCACCCTCACACACACAGTGCATTGTAATTTTTCAATATTTCTTTCAATCTAATGTCTAATTAGGAAATTCTAATTGTGAAAAATGTAAATAGAGAATTTTACAAATGTTTCCCAGAAACTCTACAGTAACAAAACCTCATATATTTCTAAAACTTTACAACAAAATTTACTGAACTGAAAGTTGTACATTTTCACATTTTTCACCAAATCATGTGTCTTTTTAAAACATAATGTTGCTAAACTAGACAGATGTCACTTCTTTAGTGAGAGAGGTACCTATTTAAGCAAAATATATTGAATTTTGGAAGGAAAAAATTTGTTTGTATTATTTATTCTTAAATTGTATTAACAAGTGATATTGATATTATAAATAATAAAAAAAAAATGGGATAAACATTTATTTTCACGACAAAATGTCGCGAATTTAAAGCTTTGAAAATTGTCGTCACGCGCAAAATCCCCCATGGGAATTTTCAAAAGTTGGCATGTATGGTAACTGCGGAAAAAAATTCATTTGGATCAATGTGTAAAGTCCGAATTTTCTCTTCGCCCAGGCGTTGCTTTAAGAGCTCGCAGTGACGAGCGGCGCTTCGCGCCGCTCGCTGCGCTCGCTATAATGGGAAAACTTCTTCAAAAATGTTATATAATTATATATCTCAGAAAGTTCAAGATACCAGTATTCATGTGCGGATCTAGAGGGGGTCGGGGGTCCAGACCCCCCCCCCCCCACCACTGGAATTTGTAGAGTTATAAAAAGTATATACTGAAGCAAATAAAAAATGTCTTTGGACCCCCTAGAAAACGTGGACCCCATCATCACTACCACGAAATAGTTTTTTTCGCCTATTGGAAATTGATTTTACGGTTTTTTGTTTTGTTTTTTTTTTTTGTTTGTTTGTTTGTTTTTTTTTGTTTTTTTTTTTTTTTTGCTTGTCATGAAATTTCTGGGTTGGAACATTTTTTTTTTGACTGGGGGTGGACCCCCCCCCCCCCCCCCGGAAAAAATTCCTGGATCCGCGCCTGATTATTGCTGTTTAGCTTCGAGCTGTGCAACGACAAAATCAATCCCCTTTTTTATCATTTAAATCATCGTCATAATTTGCGTTATTTGATCAAACGTTTCCTCAGTAGTCAAAATGAAGACCTTCTTAGTGGACCAGTCTCGACGAATCTCGCTGAGATTATTTACCACTATGTATTTACCATAGTAAATTTTGATGTTATTTATGCTTCCATCTTTAAAGCATGAAAATTCTCCACATTGAATTTCCTCTTTTAATTTTTAGGTGGAATAACTACTTTACAAACGAAAACGTAGTCCTAAGATTGAAACCTTCAGAAGAAAGCTATCAATATTTTTTTTCAGATAATTAAAAGTTATGGTCGCCATTTTAGAATCCTGACTGGTCCACTAAGAAGGTCTTCATTTTGACTATTTTGACTAGATTCCTCGGACATGCATACCCCTTTATTGTAGTAAGACCCGCCTATTCTCTTTTCATAGATAAAAGATCCTATTGTCACAAACTAAGTCGAATTTTTTTCGACATCTGACACAAATATATAATTGAACTCATTTGTAGATCAACGGGGAGTAAATTCTTCGGATTGATTGGTCTGAATAGGTCAACGGAAACTTATCTTAACCTCCGACCCCATCAATCACTTAATTAAGATGGTTAAAAAAGGGTAATTGATTTGTTAGAACAACCTTCACTAATCAGTCAATTCATTGTTTAACAATTTAATAAGCACAGGGTTCGACATTCACGCTCGTCACTTCGTCATTTCCATCCCGGAATGATTTTGGACGACCTGATTTTCAGTCTGGCTCGCCCAAATGACGACCTGGGACGAGTTGGAAATATTCAATAATGTTGTTTAATATTTTAAAATAAACTTTATAAGGTCTTGAAAACATTGTTTCCTGTAACCCGACCGACCCATCCAAATAGCAGCCGCGTGGATTTTTCTTTCTGCCAAATCTGTGTTTGATCAATCAGCTGATGTAATTTTTACCAAAAGTGTTAAATTAAGTTTTATTTGAGATATAAAATATGTAAACCTAGTCAACAATCACCATAAAAATAAAGAGTAATGATCATTTATAATTGTAACATCTAGCATTTCTCCCACAACTTTCTGATGTTCGTTTTCTGCTGCTAGACAGCCGTGTTGGGTGTCCACTGTAAACATCACACCTGGTAATTCAGTCTAGGGATGTTTGACCCCATTTATTTAGGCCTTTATTGTAAGTGAAAATTATTGTTTTAAACTAGAAACTTTATTTTGTGTCAATATGTAAGGTGAGATTGCCCATTAGCAAAAAAAAAAAAAAAAAAAAAAAAAAAAAAAAAAAAAAATCCCGGCCTACCAACCCTTGATTTATCCTTAATTTATTGGGAATATTACATGAAACAAACATAATTTTTTAAAGCCTACAGTAATATTAGCATTTTGATTCTGCTTATTAATATTTGTTGGCTGTTTTCTTTGTTTGATAAAATACTAGAAGACAGCTTTTGGCATTCCAAAAATTTCTGGTTTACATTTTATAATACAAAAGCACAACTTCTGTTATCTTAACAAATTTTAAACAATTGCACATTTTTGTTTCACTTGATATTTTGTTCGGGCGACCTGAAATTCATTCGGGCAACCTGAAATCAGTACCAAGGTTGCCCAAATGGCGAGTCCAAATTTTGACGAGTGTCGAACCCTGTAAGCAATGACTAATTTTCAACTTCAAACCCCTAATATATATTTTCAAAGTTAATTTTTCAATTCAATATTAATTTTTTAATTTGAAAATTAATTCTTTGATTTAAAAATTATTTTTTTAATTTAATTTTTTTTTTTAATTTAATTTTTTTAAAATTTAATTTTAATTAAAGTTTAATTTTAATTTATTATATATTTCAGACTTGAAAATTGTTATTTCAAATTAATAAATTTATGATAGCCTAATATTTGGAGTTCATTTTAGTAAGATTTACTGAAATCCCCCATGATGCATTTTGTGATGATTTGACAGATGAGAGTGCGCTTGCGCAATGAAAATGGAATCAAAACAAGCAAGGCTGGTAACTTTCTCATTATTATTATTTTGCACGACTGTGGCAAGTTTTTTGGACATGGAGGAGCTCAAAAATATAAACTATGGCATAGATATACTCAACAAACCTGTTTTGTTATCAACACAGGTATGTTTTTGTGTAGAAGATACTGCCGTATGGTTTCCATCTGTAAACAGTTCGAATTATCTCAGTCGTATATGCAACTTCTCTGGCTTCTCAAGTTACTGTTGTGTGTTGTGTTCTTAACATTATTAAATACTTGCAGATGACTTGTAAGCCTTTAGATGTTGATAAAATCTGATTTATAATTTGTTTAAGCAGAGTAAAAAAAATACTGTGATCCCTGGAACCCATGATACATACTGAGAATAAACAGATAAAGTGCAGACCTAAGTATTTACTGGGTATGAGGAGAATAGCAACTTTATTGTCCCCTAAGACAGCAGTACTATTTTCTGAGGAGCAGCAGAGGGAAGTAGTTGCTGTCAATGGGGGTGATAAACATGCTATTGTCCTCTGACATAGCAAGTAAGTACTCAAATCTTGTGCACAAACAGGGTACCTCGCTTCGAGGGAGAATTTCAGCATACTATACCAATGGAATTTATGCAAGAGACCGATCAGGGAGATGCCATTTTTCAAGCCTCTTTTGTTCATACCCGGTTAAAATGTTTATATGTCCTAAATTCAGGAATATTTATCAGACTTCCTTCCACTAGCAGCGAATCAAGAGGTCAGTATGTACTACTGTGTTTAAAGAAAATACAGAGGTAGCTAATCAGAACTCCTTGGATTTGTTGCACAACCTACAATGACAGCCTCCTGATTTGCTGCTTGTGAAAAAAAAATTTAAATAAACACCCAAAGTGAGTGACAAAAAAGCTGTGGCTTAAACCAAAGGTTTTTACTATGCTTGGATCTGTAGCTCTCTGTTTTATCTGTCCAAATTTTCTCAAGCAGAGAGCTACAGTTCTGCAGCTACCTCTTGTATAAATTCCATTGGTAATGCAGTATAAATATTGAAAAATCTCCCTCGAAGCAGGGCACTCTATTTGTTTATAAGACTTTGTTTCTTACCTTGAGTATTTATAAATGCTGTAAAGGGTCAATCTCTTAAACTTAACAAAAACAAAAGATGATATCGGAATATATGTCTGATAGGCTAGGAATTCATGTATTTTTAATGAGTTATTTTATCTAATAAAAATTCTCAAAAGGAAGAGGAGGTGTTACACCAACCATTCGTCAGATGCCTGTGGTAAATAGGTGTTCTATTATACCGAAGCAGACTATATACTTGGTTTAAGTTGTGAACCAGATAAAAATGGAAAAGTTCCAAGATGAAAAGCCAGGGAAATCAAATGCTGGCGGTGAAAAATTTGACGACTATTTCACCATGGGCAAATGGCACAAAAACTATTTCACAGTAGAGGTTGCTTAGAAAAAAAAGCAATTTTAATATAAGTCATATTTTTGTAAAGAAAAAATACACAAAGGTAATAATAATAATTAAATATAGTGTATCTCCATTTAAGTATTCTTGTTCAGGTACATGCTTTATGTCTCATGTAAATGTATGTATGCTCAGGATTGTGAATTATCAAGAAATTGTGTCTTATATGTTTAATTTGGTAGGAGACAGACAAACTCAGTGAAACCATTGATGTTACATCAAAGCATGGTCAGATATATCGCTGCACCATACCCAGTCAGATGGAGGCAGAGAAACAAAAGGAAGAAGAAGAGAAAATAGCCATGGAGACAGGAGTTCCAGAGTTACTGAAAGCCATGGAGTCGGGCCCTTGTCTTTTCAAGGTATACACTGAGAAATTCATAGTTTAGTCAGTATAAGAATAAGAATTTAATACATTAAATTAGGAATCAGAACCATTCTTTAGAATTTAGGGTGCTAAAAGACACTCATTCTCTCATCACTTGGGAGTTGATATTGGCTGTGGAGAAATGGATGCTTTTAACTTGTTCTGATGATGAGTAAAATGTGATCATTTGTCAGATAATTTGTGCTAACATCCTTGGCAAGCTTTAAATTTATTGAGAAGCAAATGTATTTTACCATGTGCAGTGTGCAGATAAAACAAAGATATTTTGGATGTGTTAAAATTTTTTAAGAATCTGTACCAGTATGCTATAATAATATAATGATAAGATTTTGGCGTCACCATTTTGAATATTAATTGAATTGTGGTAGAAGTAAAAAAAAAAAACAAATTATTTTTAATCTTTGATCTTTATTAATTCATTGATGTAATAATTAAGTACATGTAGTACCTTATTTGTGAATATGAATATCCAGGATCATGAAACATGAGACACAAAGTCCTAAGATAATGAATATATATATGATGTTTATAATAATGATGAAGTATTTTAAAATTGTTCTATAATAAGTGTATATTTTATATTCCAGACTAGAGACTGGTGGAGTTATGAGTTTTGTTATGGAAAACATGTACGCCAGTTTCATATGGAAGGTAAAGTTTTGCCACAAATTGTTAAAAGAGTTTGGTTGAATACATTTTAAAATATCTACTGGCTAAGCAAGCTGTTTTATCAGAACAAATCTGAATTCTCTTTTATTGCATAATTTAATTTTTGAAAAATTAACATAAATTACAAATAAATCATATTTCCAGATGGCAGAATTGAAGGAAATGTAATCATGTTGGGATATTATGAATCAGAGTTTGATTGGAGAAATGAAACAAATATGGTAAGTGATACAATTGTCCTTTTAATTGTAATAAAGTAAAAAAAAAAAAAAACAAACAAACAGTTTTTTTGTTTAAGTACATCCAATGTATTTTTTTTTTTTTTACAAAAGGAAGTCAAATCAAGAAACAAAAACCGATTGAATCGATATCACAGCCAGCAATACATCAATGGCTCAAAATGTGACCTTACAGGAAAGGCCAGAAAAACAGAAGTCAGGGTTTGTATCAAAATATTTCATTTTACTTATGCTAATGTTTGTCGTTGAAGACTACAAAGTTTTCGCTGTCTTGAATATATTAGTTTAGTTTTCAATATTTGATTGATTAAGTTTAATTTAAACATATTTTTATTGAATAAATCAATAAGGATCGGGAAACGGGCAAAGCCTATACATACCCTCTCCTTGTATAATAGGTCAAGTCAAAGCCTATACATACCCTCTCCTTGTATAATAGGCCAAGACAAAGACAATAAATATTAATACTTGTACATGATAATAAAATTACTAATAGTCAAAAATAAAGATTCAGAATCAAGTATCATTCCTCAATATTGTATAAAAAAAACAGATGATGACCCCCTAATTTTGTATAAATTATTTACTTACTGTTCCAGCTTTAATATGAGTAGTGTAAAACTGTACATTTAATATAGTATTTGATATTACAATCTACTTAGTTTAATCTCTTAGTAGATTTAATAAAATGATTAAGTTTGCATAGTACACAATATTCCCCCCCTTGAAAAAACAATATTTATTAATCTAATTTTTCTGTGAGTATTTCATTGATGCACTAGTAAATTCATCAATTTAATCAGTGTCTTATATTTACATGCATGATACATATGAACATTTGCTTTCATAATTTACAGTTCCTCTGTGAGGAAGGTAGAGGTGATTACATAGCCAGACTGGATGAGCCAGAGACGTGTTCCTATGTAATGACTATACACACCACCAAGATCTGTCATCACCCCTATCTTAAACTCCCCACACATCAGAAACCCGTCCCCATCACCTGTAATCCAGCCGTGTCAGATGAGATCTATCAGGACTATCTCAAGGAGGAAGAAGGTACTGTTCTGTTGATTTTTTGTATGATGTCAGTACCATCTAATGGTAGTGCTGCATATATATATAGTGCTTCAAACAAAAGGGATTGATATACTGATGTAGATTATAAAGCACAGAAAGAATATAGAGATTCTTTTCAACTGTTTCCAGAAAAAAGAATAATGAAAGAAAAGCTGGAAGAAGAACAGAGAATAGAAAAAGGTAGACTGCTATGCTTTTGATATTGTTATTTTACTATTATTGTTAAGCTTTTAATTTTATTAAGCAAATCATTCATTGTGACATACATGTATTAGAATCACAAGGACAAGTGACCACTACCTGAAATACACAGGATATAGAAGTCCCATTAGGACAGAACTAGATGCATGTAAATTCATAATCAGATATATTTAAAAAAAAAAAATTCCACTGACTTTAAACATATACATGTATTCTGGTTACCTGTTTTCAAAATAAAAAAAAATTCCTGAGTCTTTTCATAGTTTTCTTTCTACACAAATTATAATTCAAAGCATTATGACCCCTTATGCTTTAAAAATAAAATTATAATAGATGTTGTCCAAGTGATGATGGACAGATATATATATATATATATATATATATATATATATATATATATATATATATATATATATATATATATATATATATATATATATATATTGTTGGTGGTACCCTTCTGAAGATTTTCTGTCTTTGAACTGTATAATTATTGGTACCAGTATTCTAAGAGGTCTCTTTTTTACAATAATCAAATTGTTTTTAACATCAAATTTTGAAAAATAACACAATTTTTGTTTTTGTAGAATTAAGAGATGCAGATGCTTTGTTCAACTCAGATGAAAAAATGATGGATTCTAAAGTTCAAAAAGAATTGCCACTCCCCAACTCTATTAAGAAAACTGACAATAGTCGCACATTTGAATTCAAGGATGTGTCAGATTTAGGTCATGATATGTCTAAGATTGAGAAACTTATATCAGCTGGACTGAAAGATGATATCGTTAAACTCTCGGATCAGTTTGGAGGTTTTAAACATTTTCCCATCTATGTATAACTAAATTGATTAATTCTTCCACACACATCTCTGTCATTATTCTGGTTAACATGTATTTAATGGATGTACATGGATTATGATCAAACTACATAATATTAGCATAAGAATTATACAAATAATAATTTATCTTGTGAATGCAGGGCAAGATGTTGATATGAAAATGAAAGTGAAAGTAGTTAGGAGCATGGATGACTTGGAGGATATGTTGAAGGAAGCTCAATCTGAGGTAGAGAGCTTGGTGAAGAAGAAGAAGAAGGAGGAGGATGAAGAGGAATCAACTCCAGAGGAGGCAAATAAACAGAAAGATACCACACTGAAATTTGAAAAGTAAGACCTTTGGTTTATTGAATTTCCATATCTGTTGGAATACAATATGTAAATTTACCCAAGAAAGTTAATTTTTACCTTTGATACCTAAATACATGTATACCCCCCAACATTATTTACTTTACCATGGGATTGGAATGAATGTATTATTTGATATCCTTTTATAGTCTGATTATATATTTAATTCCTATATTTGATCTTTTCAGGAAGTCTATTACAGAAAAGATTCAAGACACAGTCAGTGATATAGACAAGGAATTGGATGGTGTGGATGAAAAGGTTCTCCAGTCTTTCAAAGGTTAGAGTCTTCAATTCTCAATACATATTTTATGAAGTTTTTCATCTTTAGTGTAATACATGTATATTAATCACATTTGTAAAGCAAATCAAGGAAGTTGATGGTGCATTCATCTTAATCTAATTCCACTGAAAGTGTTAGGATATGGAGATCATTAGAATTATAGAGTTTGTTTCCTGTTACAATGTATTTTGCATTTTAAATGTTTTGTTTCTGTTTTTTAAGAGATCCAAGATGACGATATAAACAGTGTAAGAGAGAAATTTACTAAAAATAGGAATAATTTAGCCAGCATTAAGGAATCTCTCCGAAAAACCATGGAGAGTGAATTTGATGAGATAATTGAAGAGGTTTGTAGAACCTGAATTTATTTCCCTTGTCATTGGTTATGAATTTATTTCCCTTGTCATTGGTTATGAATAAAATGTTTAGAAAGATTGGTTGTGCTGAAAAAACATACTGAATATTAAAAAAGATTGATGAAAATAAATTTTATTTCGGTAATTTGGATAGACATAGTATATACATTTTTCAAATAGAAAGTGTAAAAAGAGTGATATTTTGGATAATGTACATATATGGGTAAAATTTTCTTGTAGGCAGAGGAAGAGACAGGTATAAAATTAGAGGACAGAAAAGGAGCTCAGAAAGAGCTTAGTAAGACACTTAATAAACTCATAGAAAGGCTGGACAAGACAGAGAAAGGTAATTATAAGCTACAATCCTCAAAGAACCATCCTCAAGCAGTGTTCCAAAAAATATTGACCCTGTACCTTTATTTTGCTTTGATGACCATATATGTTTTATTTGTGGAACCCTTCTTGTTTAGCTGGTTACAGACACTTATTTTATCTTTGTAATCCTATGCATGAATAAATAATAATGAATAAAATGTAATTCATGCAAGTGATAATGTCAACATGGTAAAGTGCAAACAAGAAACATGTAATTATACTGTGAGATGGGATATGTTTAGGGCTGGATATCCTTTGTATATCACAACAATTCTTGTTTCTTTCATTATTTTTTCAATCTTTCAAGAGAGAAACAGATACTGTAAATAAAGAATAATACAAGGTTTATTTTATTGCATTTAGCTCGATAAATCTGTGCTGTGCTAAGTAATATTGTACCCTACTTTATTTTAGACTTATTAGCTCACCTGAGCTGAAGGCTTAAGTGAGCTTTTCTAATCACATTTGTCCCACGTCCGTCTGTAAATAAACTTTTCACATTTTTAACTTCTTCTCAAGAACCACTTGGTTCAAGCAAACTAACCACAATAGGTAATCAAAATTTTACAAAGGAGTATATAGGGAAAGAAATCTGCTGAAGGACAGTAGGGCCATAATTACTCATGTGAGCAATGTGGGCCTGGGCCTCTTGTTTCTTTTCAAGACACTACTATTCATGTAATTGTACATCTGACTCAAGTTCAGATATTTAATTATTTTGGGATGAAAAATGGGATTCATTAATATGCCTTTTTACACAAGTCACTGACAATAGGCTGCTTAGTATATGTTTCAAATAAAAAGAGAAAGAAAACTGCCATTAAGTTTATTGTATGCACTTTATGTTATCACCTAGCTTTGACACTGTTGTTTCTGTGGACAATTGTCATTCTGTGTTAACTTGAAGCATTACCTACATTTATGTAGATCACACACACATCAGCTGCCTGCTGAAACACTTTCATTTGGTATACTGTTACAGGAACTCTGAAATACAGTGAATTTGCTCAAATTATGACACATTAAGATAAATAGGGGTTGGGAGGGGGGAGAGCCAGTGACCAAAAGGCTTAAATGACATTCAACACAAGCATGAATGAATGTCTGTATACATGTACTTGAAACATCTATGAAATCTAATGGGAGGAGTTTACTTTTTCCATGTTGAAGCTTATTTTTGTGAAGAAAACTTATTTGTGTTGAAAATTTACATTTGCCAAAAGTGCTGCAGGGGAAATTCATTTTTGAGGAAGAAATTGCAAAAAAGAGAAGAAAATGACAAGAAATTATTTTTGAAAAGAGAAATATAAAATGGTTATACATGTATTGTGCATGTATTAACAATGTATTCTATCGTTTTCAGACATTTTGAATGTTGACAAAGAGCTTGAGAGGTTATCTAAAAACAATGCCAAACTACAACAAAAATTAGACAAGGAATTAGATGAAATAGCAAAAGGTTAGCAGAATAAGTAGTACATATCTAAATTTAAAGGAAGAATATAAAATTCATGAAATCAAAATTAGACCAGAATTTTTTTTTAACTTTATAACATGGAGAACAAAACTTAGCATGAACAGAATTAAATTTAAATGATCATTCTATTTTTAGGTCCATCAAAAACAGAGGAGCTTCCTTCAGATGACCAGTCTTCATCTAAGTCATCTTCATCTTCTTTGTCATCATCACCATCATCATCATTATCACAATCATCATCAACATCATCTTCATCATCATCAAAGGATCGTGTGAAGATAAGAGTTACAAAATTAACAAAGGGAGAATTTCAGAAGAGTGCAATGAAAAGTACTCCACAGACCCAGAAGCTGGAGGAAGATGTACAGGACCAGTTACAGAAGGCAGGGCTAGATCTTGGAAGTAAGTCTTTCTTAACACATCTGATTTTATTTATGAATTCTCCCCACCCATTTTTTCACAATTATTTAGAAAGCCAAAGTAGCAAAATCTATTAGTTTTGCAAAAAATACTTTGATGCAGAACGTTCTTAGCATTGTTCATGAATAAATGAATTGAAAATTCTGAGATACAAGTTTGATTTTTCTGTGTTAGATGGAAAGATTCAGGTGAAGATAATTACTGCGGGTTATGTTGATGATAAAGACGATGTTCATCTTCTGTCAGCAGAGGATACCAGTGCATTCAAAAATATGATTGTCTCCATTCTGGTAATCTTGGAAACATTATGTCAGACTTACATGTATTTGACAACAATTCTCTATGGCAGATCTAGCTTTACTGATATACTAATTGCATGATTATAGCCAAGTAATTTCATTCATCAAGTAGAAATCTGATATTTATAAAACACAGAGACAGTTTGCATTTGTTAGATAAAAAAGAATCTAAAGTTGACTGACTCTGTATTATTGAAAAACTCTTCTCTGCCTGTAGTTTTACGTTTACATACTTTTACGTCTACTGATTAAAGTATTCAAAAGTTATCTTAAAATAATGTAGATGATACTATTTCTTTAATCATCAGATCATAATTTTAAAACATTGTGTTATTTTTAGGGAGGGGACCATGAGGCAGCAGAGGAAGAAGTCCGACATTCAAACATGGAGTCAAACTACAACAAAGTCTGGGGTAAAAGTAGGAAGAAATCCTCAGACGTTGTTCCCTAGGCAGCCTACAGACTTGCACCACTCAGTGTCTTTCATGGATATTTTTTTGCTTTTTTTTTCTTGTTTGGTTATTGGATACATTTAGTCTCTGGACAGGTTGCAATTTATTTATTTTGATGAAAATGAATGTAATTTTTGTGTGTGAGAGTGTGAATGGAGATGCAAGTATTTTGTGAGTACATGTATATTTTTTTTAAATTAAAAAAAGTGTAATAGTATGGGACTTTGCATTAAAATTTCCCAAGGGATTTGTGAATACATTTTATTGCTGCCATCATAGTACCTCTGGACTTTACCAAACTATACACACAAATTATTCAAGCAGTCAAATCTCAGTAACTATACACACAAATTAATTCAAGCAGTCAAATCTCAGTAACTGTACACACAAATTATTCCAGCAGTCAAATTTCAGTACCTCTCTGACTCGCACAGTTACACTGACAAGAAATTTCAAAGATTCTGAGGAGGATTTGGGATTTTGGAATCAGTCCCATCTTTCAAATGTATCCAGATACCAGACTGCTTTAATTTTGGGGCACATGTTAAATGGTTTTATTACCAGTTTCCTCTGAAATTTACTTGTATATTTGCATTGAATACTATTTTATATTCATTTTTTCTTCAAATTGTATACGTAAAAGAGGATCAGGATAATTAGACAAAGGAGTGATTTTTTCCATTGTTGATATTCAATTTCACTGTCAGTCATTCCATAAATACTAGTAAGATATTTACTATTGTTTCTCCATATTTTATTTTAAAGAATCAAGTCAACTATAAAATTCTTGTTATTAAGAATAAATAGTTCAGTTTTAATCCATTTGTATAAATTGTATGCTATAAAAATTATCTCGGAGGAAAATCTTTGAAACTTGTTCAATTTGTTCATTAATTAATGAAATGCTAGAATATACATGTGTTTGAATGTGTGCCATTTCGATGACTTTAACTTATAATTTTTGATGTAGAACGTCAGAATGGTGGAGATGTTTCTTTTATATTCTGCCATCATTAACTATTTTTTTAGAATAATTACGTCAAAATGAATAAACATTGTATTATTTTATATTTCAATTGTCAAGATGATTTTATTTAAAAAAAATTGGATGAATAAAGCTGAAGAGAAAGAAGAGTACATGTCAGTAATATGCAATTAATCATTCTTCAAACACGCATGCTGTGTTTTTTAGTAATTGGAGAGTAGAAAAAAAATTAGCTGCAGATCTGTAGCTCGCTGATCTGAAAAAATTGGAATAGACGATCAGAGAGCTACAGTGCCACCCATTGAAAAAAATGCATACTTACTGCGCACTTCAAAGTGCGCTGTTTCTCGATTATTTTCACCTTATATTTCAAAATACTACTAACCGTGTGCTTCGAACATATTCTTTTACCACCTCCACAACAAGCATTGGACCGAATTATCTTGTCACCTAATATGGCAGTATAAATAGGCGAAATTTTCGATGTTCTTGATTTCAGTCCCAGGAAGGCGATAAACAACGGTTTTGGGAAACGCTTTCTTCTGGGAGTAGTAAAAGAATAATTATAAAAAAAATTTGAGACGACAGCATAAATAAACGGAGAAATAAATCGAGAAAACAGCGCATTTTGTGCGCAATAAATATACACTTTTTTCAATGGGTGGCACTGTAGATCTCCTTTTGATCTCAGTCTCACTTTTCTTCTATTAATTCCCTTGGTAAAAGTGAGACTGAGATAAAAAGTGAGCTCGTTTAAGTTTTATGCCCCGGGAGCCTACAGATCTGCAGCTAATTTAGCGACAGTTACGCAGCTAGGTTAAGGACGGCCATGAAATACACGTCTTAATATATTTAGGGGAAATTAATACAATTTTAATATTTTTTTTTACAGCATTAGTTTTGATAAATGTGATTTGTGGTGTTTGCACATGTATATATCGGGTCTCTGCTGAGTTCGACCAAAGCGACATCGCTTACATCAGCTGTTTGTCACGTGACAGGTTTAAAATTAGAACATATATGTACTACTACAAAGATCGTTAAAGTTCAACGATATACGGGCATTTTCCCGCTATAAAATTTATTCTGTTTTATTTGGGACAAATTCCTTAACACGAAAAGTGCTGGGAGCAACTTCCTCGTGCTCGGGAATTGTTTAAAATTAAGCCGTCTCTCTATAAACTCCAGTCAAAAATGCAATACGCATTGGAATAATGTTACATTACGGAATAAATAAACAATGCACAACCAGCTCCCAGCAGTTTTCAGAATAGTAGGAATAATAGCTACACGTGTTTAAAAATTCATAATTTATAGTGAAGCGGATATCATTGAACTTCTGATATTTTCGAGGGGCTGGACCTGTCATTCTAGCACGTTACTGTACAAATGTGCTCCCTACAGCTTTATATAAAGTCTACACATTATCAATTTAGTTTGACAACAAAATGTGGATTAATATATTTTAGAATATGTCTCTCTTTTGGTCCGACTATGCGCGTTTCGTATTTATTTTTATTTTTACAAGCAACAATAAAAGCTTGATCCACGCCTCAAGTACAGAGAAACTGCGTGTGAAACTAAGAAATGACGTCATCTCAGTAAGTACAGCGAGATCAAGCTGGCTTTCATTCTACATACGCTAAGTGCTATTATGGCGAGATAATTCGCTTATCCATTTATCTTTATAGTATTTATGATAAACGAAAGTATTTAGTGTGTTTTAAAAAGAACATATAGTATTTATTCATCGAGATTCCATTGTATTGTTTTACCGTGACGTCATAATAGCTTTACCGAACCTCTGCATAGGCTGACGTATATATGGGAGTCCTTAACCTAGCTGCGTACTACACGTGTTGAATTTCTCTTATTCTCTGCCCTCTGTCCTAGAATAGGTTCTAAATCATAGTTATAGTAAGATTTTTACTCGGTACTGTAATTTTTTTCTTAGCTGCAGATCTGTAGCTCGCTGGTCTGAAAAACTGGGATGGAAGACCAGAGAATTTTTTTCAGACCAGCAAGCTACAGATCTGCAGCTATCGCCAAATCGTATTCTATGATGGGGGGGGGGGGGTACCCGTAATCGAAACGAAACAATCGAAATCAAATGAAACGAAATACATATTCGTGTTTGGGTAGTACCCCGGACAGTTACAGCCACGATAAAACCTGTTTGGCTTGTTCTGCAGTAGCCGGGGCGGGTGACCAAAAGTACCTTAGGGTCTTATGTCCCGTCTTAAATGACACAGGTCATGGGCGGGGTACCTGAATTCTTATTGCCTGTACTATAGCCAGTCCAGTGAAAAAAGGGACGTCATTTTCATGCAGCTACAACAACACTTGATCATGTTAATACCCAAGCCGCTACAGTACAATAGTTCCAGGAATCCAAGATTTTTTTCAGGGAGGGGCGTCCACCCCAGTAAAAAAATTTCCAACCCAGATATTTCTTGACAAGCAAAAAACAAAACAAAACAAAACAAAACAAAACAAAAACCAAAAAAAAAAAAAAAAACTCCTTTCCCAAAATATCAATCCCAGAAATTTCTTGACAAGCAAATCAATTTCCCACACGTGAAAAAATCTATTTCGTAGTGGTGATGGTGGGGTCCACATTTTCCAGGGGGGGGGGGTCCAAAGTTATTTTTTATTTGCTTCAGTATATACTTTTAATAACTCTGACCCCCATCTAGATCCGAGCATGTCTTACATATATGTATTCTATTTGGGTAGATTATTCATCCTTAAATAATATACCTCTAAGACGAATCATTACTTCTGGATGGATGATGAGGATAAAAAATTCAAAGCATATCAATACTCAGTGCAAGTCTTACACTGATTGATACCATTAAGAATAAATATTATGATATAATATGATGAATTGATAGCAGACATGTATGCTCAAGTGACAAAGATGAGAAGCTTGAGGGTTTTAAAGAATCGGATGTGGAAGCAACAAAGAAGAAGAAAGAAAAAGGAAAGGAATCCACAACCGTCGTGTCTGGTGAAGAGGAAGGGGGCAAAGTCACTCAGAGCAATGGAGGAAAGCCAGGGATCGAGTTCTCCCTGATCTGTCTTCCAGCGGGGAAATCAATAAAGCTTACAAGGTGTCAGATTTTGATTTGATGTTTAAAGAGGTAATTAAAAAGAAGAACTGAATATCCTCTTTAGTTTGTTTTTTTTAAAATGTTGTTCAACGTCCCTCTCGAGAATTTTTCACTCATATTGAGACACCACCACTTGCCGGTGGAGGGCTGCAAATTTTGACCTATGCTCGGCACTCAGGGCCATTGAGCAATGAGGGATCTTTTTCGTGCCAACACTTACTGTGACATGGGACCTCGGTTTATACGGTCTCATCCAAAGGACCGGTCTCCACGTCCCGCAGTGGATTCGAACCTGCGAGGTAAGGATCAGTTCCTTACTAGAAGAAATGAGTAAAAGAAAGAAACAACGGTACCGGCGAGATGTTGACATTATTAATGACAATAATTGATAATTTTATTCCTGATATGATTGCCAAAATGGATGAAACTGCAAAGGATAACCGTAGGCTCAACATGAAGAAATAGGTCAGTGTTAATCTTAAAATGTTGAGTCATGAGGTATCTCAACTGAAGAAAGCTGATCTTCACTCGGCTTTTCTAGATTGTGGAGTGGTCACTGCTATGACGGAATGACTGGCTCCTCTACGAGACAAAAGTCTGCCCCATTTAAATTCCTACGCACCCTACAAGAGTTTTTAACCAATCAGTTAAGAAGGACTGAAGGGTGAGGTGGCATTTTAATACCATAATGCGCAGTGGTTAGGGCGTCTGCTGTAGAGCCGCCGAGTAATTGATCCTTACGTCGCGGGTTCGAATTCACTGTATGACGCGGAGACCAGTCCTTCCGAAGAGACCTTATAAACCGAGGTCCCATGTCGCAGTAGATGTTGGCACTAAAAAAGATTCCTTTCTTCTCAAAGGCCGTAGGTGCCGAGTACAGGTCTAAATTTACAGCTCTCAACCAGTGGTAGCGTCTCCATATGAGTAAAAAATTCACGAAAAGACTTTAAACAAACAAACAAACAAACCCATCCGAATGACCTGTGACTTTCACTTCTAATGTCGGGCGCTTGGCAAAGGATTAGTCACCTTTTATGTTTATGTCTTAAGTTGGACGCAGCGCGTCGAACGAGAATCGAACCTTGGCCTCCCGATCAAGGAACGAACATTCTACCACTAGGCTACAGTATAGGAAAAGATGAAGAGCTTAGACCTGATGATAAGGGTTGTATAAATAGAGCTAGAGTATCTGTGTCCTTGCACAAAGAGTACGCTGTACGTCCCAAATGAGCAGTGGAGGAGGCAATGTAAAGAAAGACCTTAAGCAAGAAGGCACCATCAAGGTATCATAATGATAAACTTGTTTAAGCATGAGATGCTCAGTAAGGCTCAGAGGGCAGTGGGTATCAGTAAAGTTGTTAGAGGGCGGTCACCAACGCGTCTCTCTATATATAGCTGCCACTGTAATCCGACACAGAAATGTATAGTATTGAGAGTTTTGAGACTTGTGAAAAGATGGTTAATACCGATATAGTTCACAGTTTCTCCATTCAATTAGAAAAACAGAAATATTAATCAGCTGTCCTGTATCATTCTTTAGATGCTACAGGCTTTTGTAACATGTCACTTTATTGTACGCCCTATGATGACAAAATTACAATTTCAAAGATTGTCTGCAGACAAACTCAAAGACGGATGGACACTTGACTATTGCATAAGCTCTTCTGGTTTACGGCCAGCACATGACCCATATCCTTTGGATGAGTGATTCTTTTTTAAAAATGGGTCAGTTCCGAAATAGTTGTCCAGCATTGAATTAATTTTTTGCTCCAACATAATTCCACTGTGTGACACATCAACCAAGTTTGATTTCAAAGAATCTACAAGTTAAATTACTTTGTTTTAAACATTTCAGAATTTTCAACTTAGAATTTACAATTCAATACTATACATGTATCTATGGAATTTTTCAAAGAAAATCTTTTTTAAAATGGTTCTGAAATGGAATATTTAATTTATTTTTAAAGATCTAGAAATATAGTAGACATAAAAAAATATACTGTTGGCAAAACTTTCATTCCTGACAGTTTAATCAAGGTTTTTTTGCCTCAAACCGAAAAAAGTAAATTACAAGCCAAAACAGTGCATTTTGATTGATTGTATGTTGTTTAACGTCCCATTCGAAAAATTTTCACTCATATAGAGACGTCACCGTACGCCGGTGAAGGGCTTCAAATTTAGACTTATAGTCAGCACTCAGGGCCATTGAGCAGTGAGGGATCTTTATCGTGCCAACGCCTACTGTGACACGGGACCTCGGTTTTTAAGGTCTCATCCGAAAAACCCATGAATTTCACTTCCAGTGCCAGGCGTTTGGCAAAGGAACAGTCACTACCTATGTTTACGTCTTAGGTTTGACACGGAGCAGCGGACGAGAATCGAACCAGGGCCTCCCGATCACGAAGCAAGCGCCTTACCACTAGGCTAGCATTTTAAAGAGAACTCCATAAATTATGGTCTGTGCAATGAGTTTGGTATAAGCGCACTCCTATCATCAGCCTTTTCTATGTAAAAGATGTATCCCGGGATTGATTGTGTTTGTCATATAAACACGTACCTACTACGATACTACATATATATGACCAAAAGATTGTAACTAAAATAAATTGAAACGGGACCTCGGTTTATACGGTCTTATCCGAAGGACCGGCCTCCACTTCCTACAGTGGGATTCTAACCCGGACATAAGGATCAACTCCATACTCCGCGACTCTAGAGCAAACGCTCTACCCACTGCAGCACGCGGGCGACTAAATCCTTGGTAATTGCATATCTATTAACTAGAGTGTTCCAAGAAACGCATGTGTTGCCTGCTTTATAGCATCATTAAAGATTAAAATAATTATCTAAGAGTGGTCAGCTATTCAAGTTGTTTGCTACAACATTATAATTCAGGCATTTGCCTTCAAAGAAAGAAATTCACTGATTGTAAGACCGATGGAATAGCATTTAAGACCGAAGAACATTAACTGACAAGATTGGATATATGAAGCTTACGTCACTTTCATCTGTTACATGTACAGACAAAACATTTGATGATAGACAATGAAAAGGACGGGTACAATTTGACACGGACGTCTGCGAAAATCTAGTTTGAAATTCACTTTTTAATCCACCTCAGCTACGCTCGTAATCACAATCATTTGGTAGAAAGCACGTTTGACTTCGTAAGAATTAAAAGCTTCTTAAACTTCTCTAAAGAGCTAGAGCCACGAACCATCAAAATGTGCCTTAAATTTTAGACAAAATTTAAGTTTGAAACCACTAAGCCTGTCATATGTTATATTGTAGTGCACAATGTCATGCTACTCTACATACAATTTTTCCAGTCTCGGGGATACAGATTACATGTATGCTTCCATGTACTATAGGATATAATGCAATCGGTTTACACTCGCGCGCAGTTACTGCATAAACTGCAATATGAAATCAACACCTTTCTTTGTTTGTTTTTTTTTAATATATTGGTAAAATGATTATGATGCTTATTAGATACTTCTCTATTCCAATTTTAAGTTTTTAAATGTGTTCATATAATTGCAATCATGGATTTTTTACGACGTTACGATGTAACATAATGACGTTACGTTACAAATAATGACGTTCCTCACGCAAATTTCAATGAAAACAATACCATAATGTAAAATCTCTTCTTGAAATAGTGTTATAGATATCTAAAAAAGAAAAACAGTAATGAAAAGCTAAAAGTCTCTACCATCTATATTGAAATCCTCGTTCATTTTTGAGTTAAGGCACATTTTGATGGTTAATGGCTCTTGCTCTTTAACCAAGACAGGAATTAGAACGAGAAATCAGATGACTTGACAGAAAATGAAAAGCAATTCCTGTGTACCTAAGACATTGTTAATCTGCAGGGTGTAAATTTGTATGTAGACGTGCTTTTTAAAATATCGTCGATTTTTAAATTTTCAATTTTAAAGCTGAAAATTAAAAAAAAATCAATGAAAGTATATTAAAATTGCTTTGCTGTTCTTTCATTCTGGAAAATGTCGAAGTGGTACCATGAAAAATATACATTTCTTTTTGAATGTTAAGATATTACTGCTTAAGAATGACGATTTGCTAAACTTCTGGATTTTGGATGGTATCTACGAAGAGATCATAGTTTATGGTGGGATCGGACTTCTTGCAACTGTGGTACTTCTGAAGCCAGTGATTTGACCAGTGTTCGTCCACCTGTTTTGCTAGGTAGTAAGCTTGACTGTATGCCTCCCGACAGCCCAACTTCTCACATACTGTATCTACAATCTCAAAGTAGTTAATAAAAGTATGCTCTAGTTTTTGTCTGTGAAGAGCATAGTATAGGTACACCAACACCTTGTACATTGTTCTTTCATTAAAATCGTGATATTGTTCCAGGCTCTCTGGTGGGCACTCAGGATTTCTTTCAAGGTCAAGTTTGTCTTTGTATGCTGTGATGCACAACAAGAGATACTCAACCGCTTGTTGTGTTCTGTATTTTGTGAGCAGAAACCAAGCAAAATTCGTGAACAACTGGCATCGTTCGTAAGCCATGGATTGCGGTATGAGGTGACTAGCATAGTCTTTAGCAGTGGAGGGGCCCACTAGCTCGCCAAGAGTAACTGGCTGCTGATTTAAACTCATATCTGAAGACATAGTCATTCCTAGTTTTTCGTCAGCGTATAGAAGGAACCACCACTGGCTATCAAAGGGAATTCCTTGAACAGCTTCACTGAAGAACGACTGAAAAGGCACTTGATCGTCACACGTTGCTACAGTTAGTCTATCCTCGTACGCAGTCTGTAACGTGTCCATTGCTGTCTTGAAGCGTCTCTGCAAGATATATGCCCGTGCCATTTTGATTGCATATGGAATGAAAGAATTCAAAACACTTTCTCTGACATTGTGAGTAAGCTTGAACTGTGCCATGTCCTCCATTATCATTTGCTGGACTTCCAGTCCAGATTCGCCGTCTTTTGCTAGGCTAAACAAATACTGCAGTGGATTTCCCCGTATCATACCGAATTTTTCTCGAGCTTCATTAATTTGTTCTTCTTTCAAGTAGTCAATTGTGTTGTTCTGACGAATAAAGTAACAGGGGATATTCTTTTGTTCAATCTGAGAAATAAGAGACTCCAGAAGATAAAACAAACAAGAGCCCATGTTTGACGCCCAGCAGTCTACGGGTAGTTCTTCACACACATAGAAAAAGACCCTCATAAGGTGGCCTTTAGTAATTAAAGTACTCCCTCCAAGTCCATGGCTACAGACTTCCAAGAACACCAATAAACAATATCTGCAATAGGATAACAGAAAAAATAATTTTATTTCAAATCGAGTAATTCATATGGTTTAAAATGCATGTCTTCGGAATCAGACCATATTTGACTTTATATTGGAGATATTGTACTTTACCCAAAGAAAAAATATAATTGTGTTACCTCTGATCTCTACTAAGTGCTTCATTACAGAGCGTTCGTTCTGCAACACCAAAGCAAAATCGAAACTCAATGTCAGAGTTTGAACTATCTGGATGTGCCTGATTGACAAGGTGACACCCATCTGCTTCAATAGTGCTGATGATATTGGCAGGTGGCCAGTTTGATGGCCGTTTTCTTATGATCCACTCTTGAGCTTCCTCTGGCCACTCAGAGTGAAGTGCTGGTATGTTCTTGGGATACAGCGAAACAGATGAATACGTAGAAGACATTTTGTCCTTAGCTTCATCAGATTGCTGATTGGCAGGGACAACAAAAACGGCATGGTGGTTAGGAACGTAAACAGGACCTTCGCTGCAATCTTCTCTACTCCATTGTCTCGGATAGTACGTCATAAGATAGGCATATCCTGGGTGGGTTTCGTCCGTTTTTATGATAACTGGACAGGTTCCAGAGACTATGTCACGAAATCTTATAGCTTTTCTGTGAGTAGTTATGTGACTATAAACGTTTAAAAATGGTACATTTAACAAGTTATTTTTTGACTGTCCAGTATCTTTGGGGTTCCCTTTCCTACAATGGCAGTCAGTATACAATCCGTTAATTATATCTCCAATGGCCTTGTGCACTGGTAATTTGACTTCCCTTTCCACTGTATGTCCTGTTCCTTCTATATCCTCATGAATCCCAGTATTGACATCTTTGTATTCCATTGACATGACTGTATGCTTGAATTTATCAGCATCATTAAGGGCCACGTTAACGGGAAATATGTTTTTCAGCAGAAAAGATAGATGAAGGGATGATATATCACAATACGGGTCAATATAATCCTCGACAAACATGTCCCGTTTTCTTGTGTCTGAAATTAAAAAAAAAAATATGCAGTATGAAATATGACAAGAAAAATCATTTAAGTATGGTATTTCATTTTCACAACAAATTCAAAATATAACGGTTTTTGTTTCGCAGTGCATTGATTTTTCGAATATTTATTTACTAGTATTCTCCAGAACAATATTAAAAAGCACGGACACTGTGGCATGGAAATAATTACTTTTGTAAAGAATAAAGGAAACAATGCATTCGGATTTAAAAAACGAATTTAACACTTGATTGTGAACATTTTCATAATATCATTGATATATACTTGTATTTACCTTCAAAAATGGATAAACTGTTAAGAGGCAAGCTAAAAAGCGCATCATCTTCCTCTTCACTTGAAAATTGACCTACAAATATAAATATATATCTCAAATTTCATTTAGTTTTCATTTATCTGTTTATCAAGATTTCATACAAAAAGAGCAAACTAAATTGCAAGATTATGAATGAGGAGCGATTCCTAAATGCTGAAGCAAAGAATATTGGCTCTTAAGGAGGTTGGATCCTGTTATCAAAAGTATTGAGAATTTTTTATCAAGTATATTTTTGGAATCTAGACACATAGCTTAATTAAAAATCAAAACCAAAAATGGGGGTCAATGCGCTTCTTTCGGCACTACGGAGCATTTAATATGACCTTTTTGCACTGTAATTACGTCTAACACATAAATCAATTTTTCAAAGTTTTTCCTCTAATATTTTTATCCAAATAAATTATGGAAACAAATACAGTCTTTTTTTCGTCTTGAATAGTCCCTTTAAAATTTGTGACAACAAAAAAAGTTTTCAAATTACTTCGCATAGTCAATTATTTGACCTTTTTGCACTCAAAAAATGTCATTTTCTGGCATTAAAAATTTAACAAGCAATAAAATCATTTGAAAGTAATGTCATTTTTCTGAGTTTAAGCAGAATGGTTAAAATTATCTTGTTTATTCAGAAAATAAACTTAAAAGTGGGGGTCTGTTATGATAATTTTTAGATATAACTAAAATAGTGCTAATTTTTAGCCTAAAATGGGCTATTTTTCCCCAGGACTTTCACAATATATTTGTTATATTTTTCCAATATTATGACAGAATTCATGATGGTTAATTAAATATATTATTTAGGACCAGCATAAAACATTTCACTGCTCAAAATACCTTTGTGCACAGGCTGCATGTAAAAACGAATCCAAACTTAACAATACTGTAAATATTTCGAATGAGAAAAATTGATCATTTTCTTCTATAAAACCTTCCGCCACAAAATATAGTTCCTAACTTAATGCTTTCAGTATGGAATTTAATCATGGGATTTTAATTGAATATAGTTAAATTAGCATTGCAGAATCCAAATTTATTGTAAGATTATGCAGAACATTATGCAGAATTTTTTAGATAGAGGTCTACACAAAAATCTGCTCAAAAGCTCAGGAACGAACCTCGTTAAAACCAAACAGAGATATCTTTCATATTCACATATTAATGATATTGTAATAGAAGGCACCCACCGTCGTCTCCCTCTGGTATCTCTCGCAGACTGACATAATGGAACTCTCCGACGTGTCCCAATCGTAAACACCTCTGGTCTTCCTTTGCAAGAGCATTTGTAATCTTAGTTATCTCCTCCTTTTCTCCTGCATGTAAAACTTCTATGTTCCTCTGCGTTACCTTAAGTTACATACTAAGAAAGTTGATAAAACTTTCTAATTACAAATAAATAAATAAGGACGTTTCAAAAACTTCACACTACAATGTGGCACATATCATAAAACAATCCACATCTAGAAAAGATATAAATACACTCTTTTTCTGTAGAATGTTTCATATCTTGTGATCTTTTTTAAATCTTCTTTTTTGCACACACACACCCTCTCTCTCCTTCTCTCTCTCTCTCTCCACACACACATACACATGAGATCAGTAGGGCAACAGCTACCGAACTAATATTAACAGCAATTTAAAAAAAAAAAAAAAAAACAAGCAATTTAATGGATAGATCAACATTAGATTATATAATTGTTGACAAATGCGTAAAATTTTGACCGGATGCCAAGAGAATGAGTGAAGAAAACGTTTTTGAAAATCTAAATAATAAGTCATTGAAACATAATGACCCTTTTTGCATTGCTCTAAATGATTACGAAAGAAAAACATATCAATGAAGTCCAACGAGTCCAAATGAAAAAAAATTAACGAAATATTTTATAATTGATCACATTTCCTGAGATGTAATCTAGGTATATCTTAAATGTTGATGACATTAAATTGGATATGGAATATAGGATTTCGGAATATAATTCTGCCAGTGACAAATTGGTATTTATAAGTCAATTTTCCTAGTATCTATGTATTTTATATTCCTTTTTATTTTTACGTTTAACGTCTATATTTATTTTTTCTATCACATCCTTCCTGCTCCTATAATGACCGCAAAACTGCTAAAGATATTTATAAATTGGAAAAACATGGGCAATTTCCGTGCTAATTGACGATTTTTTCAGAGTCTAGTACAAGCTATAAAGAACATACATGGAATTATATTGAGAATGACTTACCATTTTGCAAAGAAAATTTCTTAATTTATGAGATTGACAAAATAGTTGAATTGAAGTTAAACCTTAACCCAATAAGCATAACTATTTGGGGCATTGAGAGGATTTGCAGATTTTTAATCTTTCGAAAACTCTGCTGCAAATCTCTGTAATCAGCAGATTAAAACAAAATGCAAATTAGACCGAAAATTTGAATAGTCTCCAAATAATGCCCCTATTCACTTTTTAAAAATTTATAAAAATAGGCATGAATTTTAGCCATGAGAGAGAGAGAGAGAGAGAGAGAGAGAGAGAGAGAATTGATTACTTGTGATGTAGCCTGTAACATGAGATGATCTCCCCATTGTCCCTCTTGGGTCATACGATCCAAATATTCCATCCAGGACTCCCCATCCATGAACATTTCATAGTGAGTGCCATCGTCAGACTCGGGATGACTTTTTAGGTGCTCTACACAGGCCTGTCGGAGTGATTTAGAGCTAAAAGAATAGTCGCCATTAATTTCTAGTTGGTCTACAATGGCAGCAAACATACAGTTTCCATCTGGAACTACATTATGAACAATGAAATTGTTATTCTTTGCAGCAATTGTCATTGCCTTCATCAGCTTCATGAACTGACCTTCGCAGTCTCTTCTGCCACATCCTACAAATATAGAATCTTTAGTTGATCGGATTTATAAAAAATAATCTTTCAAACAGATACTTTGCAATGAAGCATCATTAAAAATTTTTCTTAATATAATCGACATATCTGGATTTCTGTTATTGCTGACGTACCTGCACACGTATGTTTTGACAATTTCTTTTTATATTTTGCTGATGGTTCTGGTGGGGGTTCTCTTTTAACATGCCAAACGTCCGTTTTAGAAGTCTGACCCACATCTTTATCTATAATGTAGGGTAGATTTCCTTTTAGGGAATTGTTGTTTTCTGATATCTCAACTCGAAGCCGATCCTGCTTATTTTTCCAAGGCTCAGAGGTCACAGAACTACTTGACTCTCCTCTGAACAAAGAAGGTGATGGCAAAATTGGATCGAGAGGACCACCTGGTAAATGAGGTTGTATATTTTTTCCTTGTGCTGGTGACAAGGGTGTCATCTTGTTTGAGTCTTTTGTATTCGTTGTTGATAAACTCTGGTGTAATTGATTATCACCAAAGAAATCTTTTTCATGCGCTTCTTCGAGATCCCAAGCATTTTGTGTAAAATCATTGTTCCATTTTCCCCATTGTGGGAACCCATCGGAAAACATTCCCCATGGTTGATCATTTCCCCAGTTTGGATAAGAAGAGGGCATTTTATTCCAGTGTGGTATAGAATCTGTTTGCATCTTTCTAGGTGCATCTTTTCTCCGAACATCTGTATCAACATTAGATTCTGGTTTATCATTAAGGGATTTTGGAAGAACTCGTTCTTTGTCCTGTGAGTATGTGGTCTGCTCATTTTCACTTTTTTGATTTTCAATCATGTCTCTTTTGTTGCTTGTGTCTACCCCCTCATTTTGACGGGTCCCACTTTGACTCTCAAGAACTGGGCTGCCTTTAAACAGTACATTCCGTATATGATAAATATATTAAAATAACAATTTTACTTTTTTAAGAATATACCATGGACAAAATGTATAAGAATTTTAATATATATGTGCGATTATAAGATAATACAAACTCACGCTTTAGCCTAGTTCCTTGGTTCATTGCCTCAATTACTGGATACAATGGCAGATTAGGGAATCTGGTTTCCGAAACATTTTCAGATTGGTCTGTGTCATCTACATCTTTTCTTTCCTCCAAGATTTCATCACTCCCAGTCATCTTTCTATCTGTCTGAACCCCGTAGGATGTAGAATTTTTTAAACTGAAATTGTTTGTGAATTCTCCAAGACTTTCAGGTCCACTATGATAAGCTATAAATACCTGATTTGACTTTTTATCTGGGATGTTCTCTAGTGATGGTCTTGTAGCCTGTTTTGAGGGTTCAGGAGAACCGTTGTCTTCTTTTTTATCTGCAGTCCTAATTGTTGATTTGCTTTCAGTTTCTTCAATTAAATTTTCCTTTGTATTTCTTTCTTCCTTAAAAAGTTCTTTTTGCTTCTTTGATTCATTGTCAACCTCTTTTTCAGATCCTTTTTGATCAACGTTGGTTGTAAATTCATGATGATAGCCACTTTTGTTGAAATCTATGATATTTTCTTGAGAAAGTACATTTTCAGTCCCTGTCGATTTTTTTCTTTCAATGTTCGAGGGATCTTTCGTGTTTTTCAAGTTTTTTGAACAGGATGGTTTTTCAGCAGTGTTGAGTACAGTCTCCTGGGATTCAGGCACTCCTGGTCCCACTGTGTATGCAAAGTCATACATGAATCACTGTTAAATTATAATCATGACTAAAAATGTGTACCAGGATTGTTGTACATTTCAAATGTAATGCAGTTTTTAAGATCACAGAATGTATATTAAAAATGATACCCAGCTCCTTTAGAAGAATGCAGGTGCAAGTGTCTCCATATCTATTTGTCATAAAAAGTAGTTTCGATTTTAATTCACCACAGCTTACACATAGCACCTGTTGGAGAAATACAAGTCAAAATAACACAGAAATTACTTTGAATTCATTAAAGATAGAGAACAATTTTCAGAAATTTATAGAAATAGAACAAAATTTATATGGATATCACCTTTTTACAGCCAGGACATTGTAAATGCTTTCCGGAGCAATTCAAGACTGATCTACACAAATCGCATTCGTCCATCTTCGTTTTAAGTATTTTAAAGATGAATATTACAAGGATGCTTAGATCTGTAAATGTCACAGTCTATAATATCCAGGCATTTTCAGCATTCAACGACAAATAAAAAATGTTAGACAGGACATCCGCCATCTCTCTGAATTAAAGTTCGTTTCCTGTTTGATTAGAATAGCAACTATTTTTGCTATCAGAAATTTTCATTATTATGTACTTTCAGTTTATCTTTATACTTAAGGTTTAAAACAAGGTTTGTTTTACTGGAAAATAAGTATTCCACCCAACACTCAAGATATATATTTTACGTGTTTATCTTAATGTTAAATAGAAAAGTTATAATTCAGATTAAAATAATTTTATTTTCGATTTCGATGCATTTAAATGAAACGATTTTGGGAATTTTTTCAAGGCGTTATATATAGATAATCTAAAGAGACATAACTCTTAAAAACTCGATACTTATGGAGAACCACTCAATCTTGCATTCTTACTTAAATGTTATTTTGTTAAATGTGCTCATTTATATTCATCTACTCCAGTTGGGGTGTTTATCTTTAATAAAAACTTGAAACTTGAACAAGACAAAATTAATGGCATTTCTCTAGTAAAAATAGATAACATAACTTAACGCAATATAAATAAATCAACTGTGTTGAAAAGACCTAAATGATTATGTTGTCCAGTCATTTAATAAAATTTTACATCAAAATACGTAAAAAAATGTAACAGTTTTATCAATCTATAAGGTTATTTGAATAAACAGTGAACAGTTCAGAAAATTGAATTCATTCATGGGCATTGTGTTCCGTTATTTCTTACGAAAGTTATGCATTTTTTTGCCTTATCTATTAGCTGAATTTAAAAAATATTGATATCGCCAAAGGGATACAGATTTTATCAAATCGTATTCACGTATGACTCTATAAGAATACGATTTCCCTAGAGGTATCCATGACATCACCTTTTGTGGCCCAACCTTACCCTTTGGATTTGAACGAATAAACACTATTTAATTCAAGAAGTAATAGTATTGGCGCAAGTTTTATTGTTTCTCTCCCTGTGGTTCTTGAGGAGAACATTTTTATTTAAATGATGCACTAAATTTTCACCATTTCCCCTTGTAAGAGGATGTGAATACCTTTCACCCAAGAATATTATGGGGCAAGTTTGGTTTAATATTGACTCAGTAGTTCTGGAGAAGAAGTTGGAATTGTTAAAAAAGTTTATAGACTTTACAGTTTACAATACACGATAGACAGACGGAAGTCTTTGATTAAAAAAAAGTTCAAACGAGTCTTCGGCTCAGCTAAGTTAAAAAAAAAATATGTAAAAGAAATCTTCCAAAATGCTTCATGTTGATTTTTAGTTTTTCGTATTTTATTTCAGCAAAACTTGGTATAACTTTAGAAATGTAAAACTATCAGATGAAAAGTTTTTAGTCCAAGCGCTTCTTTTGTCTTCCTTTACAAACCAGAAGAACTAGTCTAATTATAAAACTCCGATATTTTTGTCTGTTGTTAGTTCAACAAATGAACATCTGGAATCTGTCTGGCGTCTGTTAAGTCTTCACTTTTTCAAGTACATAAGAACCCTTTGATCAATTTCAACTAAATTTGGCTCAAAACAACCCAAAGCGAAAAGGATTCAAGTTTTCTCATCTTTGTCAAGGGAATATAATTAAGAAATGATGAAAATAGGATGGGGTCATTCAATCTTTTTCTCAAGATCTACTTTGCCAGAAAAGAAAATCCTTACAAAAAACTTTTAAATTGATTATAGAAGGGTTGCTCAAAAAGTTCGCTGACTAATGAAATAACTTTTTTACTTAATGTCTTATATCCATTTGGAAGGCATTTTTTAAACAATAAATTCGAATAATTTGCATTAGAAGTTTTAAATATAAATTGATTTTTTTCAAACTTATTTAAAATTTGAAAATCCGAAAATAGAGCAGGACAAGGTCAAATGCATTAATTTACAAGCAATACGATAAATAATGTCAATAGTCATATCTCACAAAAGCAATATAAACCTTCAAATTAAAAGTGCTTTCATCATTTCATATGTAACTTAATATTTTGCTTCTTTAAAAAAGAAATCATTTTTAGAAGATAGGTAGGCCTCATTGAAAAAAAGATGACGTCGTATAACGTCAAGGAGCAGCAACTGGCGATACAATTTGGTGTAACACCCGGAAAAACGGCATAATAAACTCTAAAAATGGTGGAAGAAGCAAGAAATATGCCAAAAGTGAGCGCATGTGCGTTTACAGCACAGGTAGTTTTTGGGTGAAGGAGGTTCATATCAGATGATATACAGTATGTAAGAAAATGGATTATCAGTAAGAATCAGGAACCTCATGGAATGAGTCGGGGGTTTCACTGTTGCGGATTTTGTGAAATCTGAGTTACAATGTATGCGGTAAAATAATTAAAACGTATGCTACTGGAATGAATGTTAGCAAATTATATGCCAAGTTGCATAGAACTTCTCTAATGAGCACAGGTACAATGTATGACGACGGACATTGAGTGAAATGCATAAGAAAAGTATTTTTGAAAAACTCATGACGTTATGTTTTGGCCATTACAATACTGTTAGGTGTGCTCCGTGATAACAGTACATATTGATTTTAGAACTAAGTAACCCGAGTTCCATTTAATCAAACTTCTGACATCAACAAAATGAATATTTTTACGTATCATAGTATGCCGATATTGAATTCCTTGACAAATAATATAACGAACACTGAAACTGTCCTCGAACTTTTCGAACAACCCTCGTGCATGTGTAGATATAAGCTATAATTAGAGGTGACTAAAGTATGTATGTTATGAGGGTCCTGCCATTTGGATGCCCTTAACAATAAAAGGTTTTTGTCGTCCATTTTCCCGTAAGTCTCCAGCGAGCGTGGATATGCTTGATGGTCGATGTCTACAACTAAGGAAGGCTGGATGTAGCTGTCAGTCTTAAAAGCCCAGTAACAATATGTTGCGTGAACCATTCATGAAAATGGGTTTTTAACCTTTGTCACAGTTCTTTTGTATTGAAAAATGATTTTGTTTAAGTAGATAAATGAAACCCCTTATTGTGGTCGCCAAAAAGTCTTTGAAGTAACAATTTGAATTTGCAGTATAATTTAAAATCACAGACATCTGGTGCTTGTGAATGTCAAACACTTCTCTCTTCCCTAATAGTGGCCCATCCCTTGCTCCATTGGCTGTAATAATCTACATGACATTTGGATGCTTATCTGTTTGACTAATCAAAAAGTGTTCTCTGAAAACAATACATTGAAAGCATTTTGTCTACATTCATTGCAGGTGTTTATTTTCTTGGGATAAAAGATATCCAATTTCAATTCATAAAAGATACTTTTTGATATTTCAGCAGTATACTTTTTTAAAGCGTTAATTATTTCCATGAATTTGAGGTATTAACAGAGTTTAAATATTACTATAGAACCTAAGTGTTTACTTTTAACATTTTTATCCAAGCTCCTTCTAAATTTCATCTTCGGAAGATCAAGATTGTGAAATAGCATTTGTGGAATTCTTAATCGGTATCAAGTTAGATTTCTATATGATTTCATGTAATATTTATTTTTACTGTAGTTGTTTTCATTGCCATTCTTTTCAAATATTTAAGTTTTTTTTATTGCCATTCTTTTCAAATATTTAAGTTTCAGTGAATTTAAAGATTCGCTAACATATCAAATTCTGTTATGAAAATCATGTAACTAAAGTTGCTTTGAATTCAAGAAAACCTACTAAAATTTTCCTTTGATCTCGTTTGAAACTAATTTCCACGTGTTAAGTAAAATTTTCTGTGCGAATTTTATGAAATAACATTAATTCGTACTCACTCTAGCATGGGAAAATTTGTACTCTTGGTTACTGGTGTCTCAAAAACTGATAATGACGTACGTGTTTACCAATTTTTATTAAGCAACAGACATTAGTAAACATAATTATGAATTTGATAAAATACTTCGGTTATTTTTAGCAAGCAAAAGTGCACATTTGAGCCACCCGTACTTCATCCATTTCCGATTATAAATGACAGTCATTAGCTTCACTTAATTGTTGCTCGTATGTTGGCACGTTCTTGGCTCTTAATTCACATATAGGAAGGCATTTAAGTCCCATGTTTGTAGATTTTGATATCATGATGATAGAAAAAGGTATCACATTGGCCTTATTTGGACCATATATTTGACGAGGAATTTCAGTCAATTTTCTTCACTCAAAACCACATAATTACGTGCACTGAATATTTTCTCCCTTATGTCTTATGGAAACATCTGGAGCAATAAATACAATTTAAATCTAAAGCCAAATTAAAATATGAAAGAAATGTAAAAGGTTACATGGATCTTCCAACTTTATCATGATCGATAATAACTTATGTTCTTTCTTTTATTTTTTGAGTACAATAACTTCACAAAACTTTTTGTTTTAGGTAAAAAAAAATCTTTTATGAATTCTTTTCGCAGATTACATAAGACATTAAATTTAGTGATATAAACGTCTTATTTGTTTACTATCACATAAATTGTTAAATCTTTCTCTTGTTTGAGAACAATTCCTGTTTCCGTTTGTTGATGGATTGTTA